TTTTAAACAGGCAGCTGCACCTTCTTTCAGTGTTTTTATCATAACTTTGTATTCCGATATCCTATTGATGCGATGCAAAATGTGTTGGAAAGCTAACTCATCTGGCTACAACTTTAATTCAGACATCATTATCCAATTCGATCACTTCCTATACCAAAAATAGGTCTCAATATGAGACTAAAACACCGGAGTATGACTTTTCGGTTGGAAATTGATTTGTGATCATCTTTTGACTAAATTTGATCCCCTTGACATCTTTCTTTATCCAATTGACTCCGAGCACTCTCAAATCTTCATCGTGAGATTCGGCACAACTTTTAAGTATTTACATTTTAGCCCCCGAATTTTGGATCTCTTACAATTTAGTCATTTCTCCAAATTTGTCTACTTTTACTTATTTTCTTCAATATCACCAACCTACATCACAATATCAAAATCACACATCTAATTATTTATCAATTATATAAACATTACATTATTAATTATTTATAGGGTGTCTGTTTCTACTTTTCAGCAGAAATCAAGTCGTTAGCAACACAATTTATGCTATTGAGAGCCTCAATTTTGGACCAATTCTCTCACTGTAGGGCTGTAGGTTTGAAAAAAAAAGGTAACATAATCAATTTTCCTTCCTCCTTGCAGCGCGCCCAAACACGCCCTTAATTAACAAAAAAAATTACATCTTTATTAATAACAAATTAATTATTAAGCAAAAATATTAAATATAAACTAAGCAAATGTGCATTGCACGTTGCTTGCACCTAGTATATATATATATATATATAGTATCCCCACACCACCTATAATTTTTTTTTAAAAAAAACTGAAAGTTTTCTTGAGATTACACTCCACACCATCTGTAAAAAAATTTCAAAAATTGAAAACTTCAAAATTTTCATGCCCATAATTGAGTTTCAATCCAAGAGGTGGTGAATTTTGTTAGAGTGACAACAGTTGCTAATAAGATTGAATTTTTCCATTTGGAAAGGTATTACATCGAGTTGACAACATATTTATTAAATCAAGTTCTTATAAGAGAAAATTCGTAACAAATTGAACAAGTTCTCAAAATAATCATATATATACATACACACACCGTAATGTGCATTAAATAACAGGTTCAAAACTTTCAAAGCTCCGAGCAACACTTACCTTGTCAACTATGACCTTAACTATGTCACTAATAACGTTAGCTAACTCAACGATTAATCATTATTGGCGGTTCAATGCAATATTACCAAGCACTAAACTATCTATAAAACTTGTAAAAGCATGAAAGTGAGTAAGATACTAAGAATGATAATAAAAGAGAGGGTTAATGGATAATTCTCACATTTTGGATTACTCCTCCTAGATCCACATAGTAAGATTAATCACAAGTAATGTTGTCAATGAATTGGATTTTGATCGAATCTGATTCAAATTCGATGAAATTAATAAGAAATGAATTTAGAATCTTAGTCCGATAACTGATCAAGATTCGAATTCGATAATTCGTTAACTATATGAATCAAATATGGATATAAGTCAATCCGATCCGATTTGTTATAAATTGTTGCGTCAGTTAAATATTTTATGAAGTGTTATTTATCATTAAAATAAATAAATAAGAAAATAAAGAAATTCAGATTAAAAAAGTCATCAAATTCAAGATATAAAAAAAAATAAAAGTAGGAAAGTTAATCCACTTGTACACAGTGTTCTAGAAAACGTAATACATGGCGAGTGCGTGGAGGTTTCGGGCTAGACAAATCTAGACGAATCCTATGCGTAAAAACACGAATTTTTTTTCTTATTTTAATATTATTTTAAATTTTTAATCAATCTAAAATTTACTTAACAATACATACAAATTATAGTATCAAGTGCAGTTTTAAAAACTTAAAAAAATAAATATATTCGATAAACAATATGTATAATAGTGTTAATTGAAATATTTGAAGAGTTTTAAATTTTTATTAATTAGTAAAAGATATGAAAATGATTAATTTAATAAAATATAAATGACTATTTATATAATACTACAATACACTAAAATTAAAGCAAATATACAATACACTACAGTCAAATCAAATGTACAATGTACTACATCTAAACCAAATGGATTTTTATCCCATATTAAAAATTTATAACAAAATGTTTGGATATGTCCCCTATAAATAAGCGAGTTAATAAATAAGTAAGCAACTTTTTTGCTTATAATTATTAAACCCATTTAATAATTAGAAAAATTGGAAAAAAACAATTAGAAAAGTTAATTTCAGCATTAATTTTATTTTCCTAGTTTCTTTAATTTCGGATCGAATATCCGATAACATAGTAAATCGTATATGGATTTAACAATCAAATATCCATTGAATTATCGGATCGGATATGGGTAAATTCGGTCCATATCCATTCTATTTACAGCCCTAACCACAAGTCGCAATATAATATTAGAATCCAACAAGCTCAAACGAGCAATTTGAGTGCTTAAAGTTTAAAGATTAATTAAATTCTCTAATTGGTGTTTTTAAACGAGTCTTGATCTTACGAGACTTGTTAAAATAAACTTCTCATCATCCAAGTTTGAAGCCAACCAATGAGTACTAGAGATACTAATCTTAATAAGATTAATGTTTTGAAAGAACATCAAATCTCAACATATATAGATTTTAGATTTATCTACTACACGTGGCTTGACATTCATTCAAAAGGAAATCGACATTCATATTAGAATTTTTTAAGAAAAAGCACGTTTACATCCTTCTATATCTTTGCTTTCTTTAGTATATTTTTGTAAGAATAATGTTATTTGTAATAGTTTACTACTGTAATCGCCTTACGCCACATGTTACGGTTAGTGATTGATACATGAGGCAATAAAAAACTATCACAATAATGCATCAAATCACTAACCGTCACATATATGTCACGTAGAACGACTTCTGTAATAAGTTATTGCAAATAGCATCACTCTTTTTATAAAGAAAGGTCCATAAATTTGTCTCATTTAATTGCTTTTCATTTCCCTATAACATTCTAAAGTGCTCCTTTACCCATTTGATCAACATTCTAGTTTTTTGGCTTATCCACAATATTCTATAGGTGTGTTTGATGAATATTATTGAGGGAAAATGTATTTTAAACATGATAGGATGAAAAATACGTTGTTAAAAAGTAAGGAAAAGTTATTGATGTAATGAAAAATATTATTTTATTCAAAAATGTGTGGTTGAAAATGAATTATGAAATAATATATTTTGAAAGAATGTGTCAAACAGGGGCATAGTTCTAAAATATATAAGTTGCCCCAGCTCAAGTCCTTCAACCATTGCCTCTAGCTCTAACAATAATGTACTTTTGAAGTCTCGTCTTTGACTGCTTCGATACCTTGTATATGGCACTTTTTACATCAATTTTTAGCTCTTCAATACTCTATTTTTGGCCACTCGCTTTAGATTTATTTATTTCATGCCTACTGTTATGAGTCCAGCTGTTTCTACATATTAACTGTCATATGAGCAACATATTAACTGTCACAGCGTGACGAAGTAAAGATTCGAAAATTTATAGAAATCGACTGTTATAGGTCAATGGGCCTATTCAATTTAAGCTGGCAAATCTATTCCTTGAAAGTTATCAAGTCTACATCCATTGTTCATTGTTTGGTGATGCCAATAGTATTGTTCTCATATCCAAACTGTTTCTTGAAAAGGGGAATGAAGAATGCGTAGTCGAGCTGTAATGTTATCCAATATGAAGACCATAATCTTTTTATAACATCAATTATAATCACTTTTGTGTGATTAATCTTTTCATATAGTTATGGTATGATACACATGGTAGGGCCATGGACACAAATAAATAGAATGTCCACAATTGGAATCCAGATTGAAGGGATTTGTAGTTGAATCACTTATTGCTTACAATTATTCCAATTGTACATAACTATTTCATCTGTAAAAATGACAGAATACTCACATGGGATGAGCCCCATGTGAATAAAATATTATTATAAAAAATGGGACCCACCCCCTATGTGTGTGATCTGGTATTTTGACAGAAAAAAATTTTCTATAACAGTAGCAGTCTTCGTTTGCTTATAATTGATGGCAAGAGTCAATTAACCCTTAATTTATTATGGCAATTTAAGGAATAAAGTGATTATTAGTTGAAAATTAAGAGTGTTATTACTTATAAACGGTGCTTAAAAATCATCGATGATGTGAATTTTGCCAAGAACTGGACTACTTGGTTCGGTTACAAAATATTCTTCGAAAAT